GCCTTTAACTGTGAAGAGGGACCATTTGAAAGATAAGCAAATGCTCTCCTTTTCAAAGAGAGAAACAACATCTGAAAGTGAGAGCTGGAAGCTGACGCAAAACATCTCGTTTTCTTGTTTAAAGTTACAGTGCGCCTCCGAGTTAACAAACCATGGGATTGAGCCTCCCCACCATGCTGCCTGTGTGCATATGCATACTCCCCTGCACACACACTTAGCTTGCAGGCCTTTGTTCTGCAACCTTTTGTGAAGCTTGCCCTGGATTCAGCAGAGCTCTACGCTGTAGAATGAGACTAAAGGAGTATGTCTCTCGCATTCTCTCCCCCTTCGCCCCCCAACCTTCAGTCTGGCTCTCTTTGTCGTAATTTTTTCAGTCTCTTCACCTGACTTTAGCAGTCTGCCTCTTTCTTTCTTTCTCTACCAAATAAAACACTCACGCTCTGAGCGTTTGCCAGCATTTGGTGGGATAATCTACCTTCCTGAAGATTTGGCTGCGCTTCTCCTTATCACTGTGGGCTCATCAGAGCATAAGCAGCTCTTGGCTCTGTACCAGAGTGAGAGAACCACTTTCTAAACAGGAACTATTATGGAGACATTCCTTGTGTGGAAAAGAAAATCATGTCCTCCATTTCCCCCTCATTCTCCCAGAGCACACACACACCAAAAAAATGCCTCGCTCTTTGAGTTGACATCACTGAGAATCTGACCGCCAGTGGTTATTTCATATTCAAAAGCACTTGTTTTATCAACTTTGAGTGTGTATACTGAAACATATGTGCACTGTAAGAACAGTCCATAAAATATGTTGTATTCGTATTTTGATTTATGCATTGCATTGTGTTGTGTTTTATGGTTAAAGAAAATGTCTGTTAACTATCCGTTTTTCTGTTCCGTTTTTCTTTTCTATATTACTATATATACAGTATCTCACAGAAGTGAGTACACCCCTCACGTTTTTGTAAATATTTTATTATATCTTTTCATGTGACAACACCGAAGAAATGACACTTTGCTACAATGTAAAGTAGTGAGTGTACAGCTTGTATAACAGTGTAAATTTGCTGTCCCCTCAAAATACATCACACAGCCACTAATGTATAAACTGCTGGCCACAAAAGTGAGTACACCCCTAAGTGAAAATGTCCAAATTGGGCCCAACTAGCCATTTTCTCTCCCCGGTGTCATGTGACTCATTAGTGTTACAAGGTCTCAGTTGTGAATGGGGAGCAGATGTGTTAAATTTGGTGTTATCGCTCTCACTCTCTCGTACTGGTCACTGGAAGTTCAACATGGCACCTCATGGCAAAGAACTCTCTGAGGATCTGAAAAAAAGAATTGTTGCTCTACATAAAGATGGCGTAGGCTATAAGAAGATTGCCAAGACCCTGAAACTGAGCTGCAGCACGGTGGCCAAGACCATACAGCGGTTTAACAGGACAGGTTCCACTCAGAACAGGCCTCGCCATGGTCGACCAAAGAAGTTGAGTGCACATGCTCGGCGTCATATCCAGAGGTTGTGTTTGGGAAATACATAATATTGACACTTTGGGCCCAATTAGGACATTTTCACTTAGGGGTGTACTCACTTTTGTGGCCAGCGGTTTAGACAGTAATGGCTGTGTGTTGAGTTATTTTGAGGGGACAGCAAATTTACACTGTTATACAAGCTGTATCACTCACTACTTTACATTGTAGCAAAGTATAATTTCTGCAGTGTTGTCACATGAAAAAATATAATAAAATATTTACAAAAATGTGAGGGGTGTACTCACTTCTGTGAGATACTGTATATATATATATATATGATAAACAAATTAGGTAATCAAAAAGTCTGATTATAATATTTTAGGTAGTTATAATGGATTACGTTACTATAATTTTTGTCACATAATTGGGAACCAGAAATGGACTACAATTTTTAAGTAATCTATGCAGCACTGTTTGCTGTAACAATATTTTTTGGTAAATAACAAAATTATGTTTTACAAGAAAATATTATTTCATGTTTAAAAATTTTCATGTTTAGAAATGTAAAAGCTAGCAATTTCTGAGTGAAAATCCCTGCAACATAAAAACTGAAGAAGAAAAAGGAACAGTTTGCTTCTCTAATCTCTTGCCACTAATCTAAGTAATGGGTGATAGTGTGGGATCCTAAAAGAATGTGCATTTCAAGTATGCCTTTCGATGGAGCCCTTCATTTGGTAGCGTGCCAGCTGAAAGCTCAAGCCAGATTTTGTGTCAGTGCCAGATATGCATAAATGGTCAACCACATCTGTCTCAAGAGAGAACACGAATTGTAAGTAGCTCAAATCTGTCACCAAACACTGTGTTTACTGATCAGTGAAAACTTGTTTGAAGTCCAACACAAGCACATGCATACAAAGTGTTTAGCCAACAAAAAGCACCCCTAGGGTGGAATCCAGATGTGTTTTATCTTTAAGGTTAAAGGTCAAGTAGAACGAATTGCATAAACTCATTGCCAGTAGCATGAAAACTATCCACAGGGCTGCAGATATGCATCTGATTCTTTCTTCTGGCTTCAACAACATTAAAAACTGAATTAAAAGGCCTCACTTTGCTTCTTTATCACGTCTCCTAATAGTTTATACCAATAGAAAGGAAAAGTGCTGCAGAGTATTAAGTGAGACGGGTATGAAATTGGCACCAAAGGTCAGAGTTGTACAACGAGGTAATTGTCAAATTACTGTTTCGAAACTAATCGGGAAACATGAACCAAACACAAACAAAATGATAGAAATCTAGAGGTCACCCTGATTTTGTCCTTGAGCAAGGCATATAATGCTCTTTTATTTTTAGGATACATTGGCCCCCTCTGATTAAATTGATTCATAATGTGTTTTATGTACCCTGGAAACACGTGAGACACCATGAAAGATCATGAAAGAAACCATGTTCTCAGTTTCTATTTAATCTGTTTGCTAGAATCTCAGTTCTGATCACTGCGTTCATCTGAGTCATCTAATTCACCTACTCCCACATCACATCTCGTCATTCTTGAGATAGCATGTCAGAGCTAAAAATCTGTGACTTCAATCTGGTACCACAAAGGTGACAGTCAAATGTACTGTTCTAATTTTAAGACATCACAGGCATGCTCATCTAAATTAAGGATCTGACAGTTCCTTACAACTTTTCTCCAAATTCTTTGCATTCAATCATAAATCAGTGTTCACAATCAGGCAGAGTGTGAACTTGGCTTGTAAGCTCAGGTAATCAGTGCTGTGTAATATTTCATATTTTTCATCTGATGTGACTAAAAACACGTTGACAGCATCTGTGTTGTATTTTGTATTTACAATTGTGTGATTCTTGTATCATTTTCATGTTCATACTACATTGGCCTTTGAAGTTCTTGGCTTTTCCGAACCTTAGATGTTTGTATTCTTAGCTGTCCTGGATTTTGTAAGGAACCATCTGCAAAGAGTTCCAGATCAAACCTCCAGTCAACATCAGCCGGTAATAAACTTACGAGTCTGTCAAGAAGTTGCAACAGAGACCCAGCAGCACATGGAGAGAAAAGGGGGCACAGAGGGGCTGGAACCCCGGAGAGCAGCTAATAATTCACATTTCATATCCCCCCACACAGGGGCCCTTGTGTCTGCCATGAGGGGCCTCTTCGAGGGTTTGTTTTCACTGTGCAATCCAAAATAAATGGAACCCGCGGATGAGGACTGGACACACTTGGGAAATTGAAATCATGAAGTCCGTAAGACAAACAATAAAAACACTCATAACATCGTCTGTTGCTCATTATGTGTGTGTTCCTTTCATGATCTCTTTGTCTGTGTGATGATGATGGTGTGTGTTTCACACCAAGAGAAACAGGTGAAGTAAATTGTGTTTATACTCAGAACTTCTTGTATCTTCCATAAGACCACAGTTTATTTTGGCACAATTTAGCCTCTGGTCATGCTTGTTAAAGCAGATAAAAAAAGCCATGACTTACAAAATGTCAATATGTCAGTGATAACAGAATACCATTGCTCTCATTCATTCACAAGTGCAGCAATTTAAGGTTAATGTTGCATTACATGAAAATTCACCCTATTGCTTTTCTAAATCACTCTTATTGTGAACAACTGATCCATGGATGTGTTTAATTTTTACTTCAGTGTATGTCATGGTTACAGAAGAAAAAATATGGAGTTACTTACTCTACATCGTGACATAAATAATGAGCCAAAGATGAAAATAAATTTGTGTTCATTTAGATAGCCAAAACAACTTTTCATAATAATGTTCATTTAATTCTTATGGTCTAATGATAATTTTGTTATTTTATCAAAAATCTGACATAAAATAATTATAACTGGTTCTTCATAGGCTACACTTAAAAATGTTTAAAAAATAAATATGGTATTGGAATGAGTAATAAAATAACTGCTGGTAAACTTGTTGCACACTGAGATCAGACAGACCTTAAACTGTGGTTATGTGATCATTCAATCCCTGCATTTACATTTTTGGCTTACATTAATATGGCCAAATGATAACATGGTTTGAGATGGTGAGGCATAAGACAAACGCTTATATTTCAGTGCTGGGATGTCCCAAGTTGAACTTGACTTCCCCAGTGCTGCTGTTGATATAGAGTCATCCAGTCATCGAGTCAGTCTTTCACTGTTGCTTTCTCTCACCTCGACAGGCACGCAGTCTAATTACGCTTGGCAATCGGAGAGTAGTGTAGTGCTATTACTCTGTCCGTGCCGATTATTTCTGGCGAGACTTTTAAACCGACGACAGCGGTGATTGGGCGGCGCAGTCACGGGGTTCGCAGTCTTTTCGCCCTGCCTAGAGTCAGTCAGTCAGTCAGTCAGTCGGGGGAAGGCGAGTCAGCCTGCAAGCGCGTCTCTCTGTGTGGATCCACCACCATACACACACGTACACGCTCACACGGACCTTCACACACAATTATTGTTAATTACTGAACCCTTTTCGGTCTGAGACTTTTAAACCGACGACAGCGGTGATTGGGCGGCGCAGTCACGGGGTTCGCAGTCTTTTCGCCCTGCCTAGAGTCAGTCAGTCAGTCAGTCGGGGGAAGGCGAGTCAGCCTGCAAGCGCGTCTCTCTGTGTGGATCCACCACCATACACACACGTACACGCTCACACGGACCTTCACACACAATTATTGTTAATTACTGAACCCTTTTCGGTCTTTTGAGAATCTCTTTTTCCACCATGGGCGACAAAAAGAGCCCAACCAGGTAAGAAAGCGTCCACAGTCGGTAGTTTCCGAGGCGGTTTTGGTGTCCGCGCGGCTGATTTAATTTTCTTTCGCTCGGTGGATATTCGGATGCTTTTCTCGAGGAGTGTTTCTCCTTTCTCTCAGAATCAAGCGCAGCTATGGCGGCTTTCTCTTCTTCACAGAGGACTCTAAACACGACTCGGTGCCTCTCAGACAAAGAGATTTTCTTCCTACGGGATACGCCTGGCCTCTTCGGACGGGGTTTTTAATCGAAGTTCGCCGTTAAATGGACGGTTTTTGCCATTCAATTTCACGCCGTTCACCGACGCGATATCTTTAGCTCGCTGGCTAACGCTAACTGCCGTGCCAGCGGACACCAATCTAGACCCTTTAAGTGTATTATATCTTTGTTAAGCCCGGTGACTAGGAGCAGTGGAGAATAACCGTGGCTAGTTAGCTGGTTAGCGTGAATTTCCAGTATTTTCCGGTTCTAATAAACCGTCCTCGCACGTCATGGCTCGGATTTTCTGTCACTTTTCTGTGCCACTTCGGTTATGTTAAACGCATTCAAGTCAATGTGTAGGATGTTCGGGGGACAACATGGAAGTTGACCTTAATAATTTGGGCTTCTTTTTGTTATTTAAGGCCGAAAAGACAAGCCAAACCTACAGCGGACGACGGATTTTGGGACTGTAGCGTGTGCACTTTCAGAAACAGTGCCGAAGCCTTCAAATGCAGCATCTGTGATGTACGGAAGGGCACGTCTACCAGGTATGGGCATTTACACTGGACTTCTGCAGTATTGCAATTCTGATCTCATCATTAATGCAGCTGATTTCAATGCTTTACTTGTTGATATGCTCTTTAAGATTCATAGAAACACCAGTCCTATCGTGCAAGTTAAGTGTCATTTATTCAGTCTGATGACTGGTACTAGATTGAGTGTGGCAGCCAGCCTGTGCAGCCATTGCAGTGTCAGGCAAACTTTCTTTGTCCTGCATTAGCTTGAACACAATTTATTGCATTGGATTTGCCTGCAAATGCTTTGACTGCAGCTCCATGATCATGCGTGCGTGCAGATGCATGTTTGCTATTGCAGTGCTGCAGTGTTTGGCTCCAGTCAGATTTCCCATTGAACGCTATGGCTGGCATTTGTTGGGTTTGATCAAAGGCATTTAATGTCTGGGTGTGTTTATATGCTGTCAAGCTATTATAGAGACGTTTGCTGTTCAGATTCATTTCTTGGGGTTTCCTGGTATTATAAAGCGGTTAAAACGGTTTAAAGGTCAATCAGGTGTCAGAAATTCTTCAGGATGTGACGCTTATGTTGTAACAGGTCTGTAAGTGAAACATTTTCTGCTTGATTTAAGAATTGGAGTAACATGCTGCCCATTTGTAATATCAGTTTAGCTAAGAGTAATGAATCAGACGTTAATGTTGTCTTTCTGGTTTGTCTAATTGGATGATTGCATTGCTCTCGTGTCTGTGCTGTTCGTTTGGAAGCTGTCACTAACAGGTCTAGGTGTGCTCACGAAGGTCATTTAATCAAGTGTTTCTCATTCTTTGTTCTGGAAGACTACGTTTTGGAGATCACCCTTATTTGACCCCTCGTTCAGGATGTCTGGTTGGTTTTTGAAAGCAGCATAGATGCATCCTTCGCTCCCTATGATATCTCACAAAAAATGTCTGTTGTTAAACGATGTAACCATGAGGAACAACTTTAATGATACCTACAGCGCTTTAACACTTCCTGGCTTTCAGTTCTTTGCCATTTTTTCCCCCAAATTGAATAGGTTTTGAGCTGTTCATGAGATATTCATGTGCCTACTGGCTGGACACTTCAGTATCTGTGTAGTAGGCCTACATTTCAGTATCTGTTGTACATTCGTAAAAATAAAGGTTCTTCATTGGGAACTATGGTTCCATGGAAAAGCTTTAACATACATGGAAGGCTTCCATTGCAAGAAAGGTTCTTTAGATTTTTTTAAATATTCTTTACATTCGTCACATCTGTTCACGGAAAGCTTTTTGGGGAACCAAAATTGATTCTTAAATGGCATTGGTGTGAAAATCCAATTTTTTTTAATGCGTGTATAGTGCTGGGCGGTATGACCAAAAATGTATATCATGGTATTTTTCAAAATTATACCCGTTTCACGGTACATGACGGTATTTTTTTTCATGTATGACCGGGTGTTAATCATATTTTCTACTGATTGAGAGAGGAAATACTGCAGTATATTGACTTAGAATGCCCTATTTTACTGTCATTATGAGTGAATATTGTCAAAAAATACCACACTAAATAGTGACTAAACACGACCCCTTGTAATACATGTTAACCAGGAGTCACTCATTTATAATCGCGGCATTGTCTGATAAAATCAACATGCATCTACACTAAAGAGCGGCTATGCGGTTGTTTTGGCTATATTACTTTTTTGTCTCATGCAGTGCACTGCCTGCGTCTGAGTAACAAACTAAAACAAACAAAAAAGTGCATGTGATATTAACAGACAAACTACGCTCATATTTATAATTCCAAACAATCAGTAAGCGACAGGTGCTGCGGTGCGGCCAACTGAATTCGCTGCTTCTCTGCCACTCACTGCACAGAACAGACGCCAAGAGAGGTGACACTTCTCCGGGAAAGTCAGACCTCGCGTTCACGGGACAGCACTGGCGAAATCTTCCAACTGAACCGTAGCTAAGGTTTATCCAAAAAAGTCGCTAGGTTTGTCAGTATGAATATTCTATGGAAAAAGCTGCTAAAAGGGTCTGAAAGTTGCTAAATCTAGTGCTAAAGTCGCGTTCGTGAGTGTGTGAGACGCGGGAGTTGATGGCAGGGGGCGGTGGATATGTGTGACGGTCAATGTGGATATTGTGGATGAGTTCTTCTGCGTCATCACGTTCTATTAGTTCTACAGCTTCAGTTTCAGAACTTTCACGCTTCGTAACACTTATAGCTGTTCCCTCACCACAGTGCAACAGTGAAAAGGGACCCCTTACAAACAGTGTCACGTTCCGAACGTTGTTTAAGCGACATGTTTATTCTGGTATTTAAAAAATTCATATCATAACAAAAATAAACACCGATATACCGCCCAGCAAATAAAAGTGCACATGTGCAGTGCTGGGGTATTCCTGTAAGCGAGTGTAGCTGCGTATCCTCAGTTACGTATGTTCTATGTCTGTCTGGGCTGCACTGTGTTTTTTATGTGTGAACCCGCCAACACTTCTCATTAGCTGACTGATGTGGTGTGGACTGATGAGTAATATGTGGCTGCACACAGTAATTCATCTGCTCTTTTATATCCAGTACTTTTCTTACATTTGGGGGAAAGACGAGGTGTTGGGAGAATTCAGACACTCCAAAACGGCATATTTGTCAATAACGATTAGTGTGTTTATTCCCTTTCGAAACAGAGCACCACTCATGGATCTGTTTGCAGAAAGCAGACGCGTTACGTTTGTGGTAATGACAAGAAATGATACCATGCATGTCGAAAACCCCTTCATCTCACTCTCGCTGGCAGCAGTCCAGCTCCTATCAGTCAACTAAATAGAAATCACACGATATTGCTGATGAGAGCCGCTCTGTCTCCGTTTGATTTGCGCTGTCAAGCTCTGATGGATGCGATTGTTTGCTGATGTAAGAAGCCTGGCTCCCTTTGTAATGAGGACTAATTAGCCATCTTGTCCACATTTGATGTATTCCAGTGGTGCACGGGAGGGAGCGTAGGGCGCTCGCAGAGAAACGATGCGCTCTTACAAGTGTGCAGCAGTTTATGCTCCCATCTCAGCACCTTTTATCTCTGTTTCCCCTCAATGAATGGGTCTTTGTGGTGTGATATGGTATGATTCCACTCACCAATTATTTTATCTTTGTTGGTCTTTGGATTTCAAAGAATGCAGCAACCCCCTGTGCAAGGATGCTTGTAGATTAGCAGTGCATGTTTTTTGTCATGTAAAAGAAGGTCTGTTTAAAGCACCAGGATGGTTGTGGAGCTTAATGTGATTCCTGAGCACATTGAATTCGGGCTGATCGATTATTTTCATGCAGCATGAACTTGGCTGCCGTAGACTTTTGAAATTATAATTAAAGGCAACTTTTAGGGAAAAATGTTAATTAAGCACAAGTCTCTTTTGCCCAATTGACTCACTAACAGACCTCTTGAAGGTTTGGATGTTCACTTTGAGTGGGCAATTTGACGCTTGACAGTGTGCTAATTAAGTGTTGAATGAGTTATATGTGTGGCTTTCATGCTTGTGTATCTGCAACTTACAGGATTGTATGAGTTGGATGACATGTTTGCCGGAGGGCATGTCTCTCACTGTTTTTTTTACACACAGCAGCTGCACACTTCATAGACTCATTCACTTTTTGTTTCTATGGCAGTAGAGGTTATCTAGGGTCATGCTACTGTCAACCCGGCAGATATTTGTACTGCATCACTGTGGGCTTGTTGCATGATATGTAAGAAGAAATGCGGTCTGTATATTGTGAGGTAGCACTTTTTGAATTCGAGTTGCCTTTTGAGGTGGTTTTAATGCTAATTTTTGACTAATCTGAACCAAAAAACACTCTCAAGGCTAAAGGAAAGCTTAAAACGATCTCCTTTCCTCTGAGCCCATCAAAATCAAATTTCCTCACGCAGCAGATCTTAAAGCATTGTGTTTTAATATTACATTGGAATCCTGAGAACAGGAGTGAAGAATGGGACACCTTGTTTCAGTATCAGATTCCGTGGTTTCTGTGTTCCAAGATGCATATCAGTCACCCACAGGTTAGAGGGAAGAATCCATTAGGGGATTCTTAAGTTGATTGATGTGCCGGATCAGGGGGAAGTGCCATTTGGCCTTTGTGTTACCTTGATCTTCAGCGTGAGTGTACTTTTACTTCCCCTGAAGCTCCCTGCCAGGTCCCAGCCAAAGTTTTTCCCCTCTTTTAAAGGGTTAGTTCACCCAAAAATGAAAATTCTGTCATTAATTACTTACCCTCATGTCGTTTCAAACCCGTAAGACCTTTGTTCATCTTCGGAACACAAACTAAGATATTTTTGATGGAATCTGAGAGCTGTCTGACCCTGCATAGACAGCAACGCAACTGAAATGTTCCCAAGTCCAGAAACATAGCAAGGAGATCTGTAAAATAATCCATGTGACATCAGTGGTTCATCCGCAATTATACGAAGCTACGAGAATACTTTTTGTGTGCAAAAGAAAAAAAAAAAGACTTTATTCAACACATTAACAGTAACACATTAATGTTACTTTATACAACTTGAAATGTTAATGTGTTAGCATATGTATAAATTCATATTAACCAAGATTAATAAATGCTGTAAAAGTTTTGTTCATTATTAGTTCATGATACCTAATGCATTAACTTAATGTGGGGAAAATCAATTCGCAGATGCATTGCAATTCCTTTGCGGTTCTGAACTGGTCCGCATTAGATTATTAAATTATAAAAAAATCTGTTTATTGATAAAGCAAACACAGGACAAAATGTTACAGATATAGATTGTATGCAGTGTGCAACCTGAAGAAATGGCTCTCCCAGTGCTTCTGCAGCAGCCTATGTACTTTTATTTTTAAAGGGCATATGTGTTTACTTAGTGCATCACGTGCTCAGTAGTTGATCAGTCTCGTGCAGATCTACAGAAAACAAGATGTACTGATTGGCATAGTTTAAAGTCATTCTGATGTGTTATTTAATTTACACTGAATGAATTGTTACAGAGCTGCCTCTTATTGTATTTCTATTG